TTTTTTTTTGGGGGGGGGGGGGGCAGATATTTCAACCACCAGGTACCTTTTTAGATATTTATAAAATTTGGCTTGCGATATGTTTTAAGCGTTTGGCATATGCATACAGATACGTACATGTATTAAACGTTTCCTAAACATAAAATATGTCTTATAATATAGATGTATATATTCATAAATATGCAAACGAAGAATCATCAAAGTTAAGGATTGATACATACTATACAACTAAATTCATTATAAAGTGAATAAAAATCAACATACTTGCTGAAATATAAGATAAATACGAATAAGAAAAAATTTAATCTTAATGTAAATTACAAATAAAGTCTTAATCAAATCAATAAATGCTCAGAAATAAAAGTAAGATTACAAGTCTACTTCGCCAACATTAAAGTTATTCTAAAATACTGAAATCCTCAAAAATAGCATCATCATTCATATAAATCGCACAAATATCAGAAAGCCCTACATAAGTCATAACATTAGTAGTGTTAATGTCTAGTTTTCATAGCCAAATAACAAAAGAGAATAACCTAAGATAGATGTAAAAAAAATTAAAAGCCAAATATGACTTTAGTTTTTTTTAATTAGAAGGTTATGAGGACCATTATTGCCATTTTTATGACTTTATTTTTTTATTTTATTTTTGCATATGAAAATTAAAACTTTTAGAATTCAAATCACAAAAATAATTGGAATTTTAAGGACAAACAACCAAAAAAACCCAAACCACGAAATTAATCGTTAACGTGGCTATTGCGGTCGGAGTATTAGACTCCTAGCTCGACGAAGTCAGAGATGTTACGGACCTTGCAGGACCAGACAAGATTAGATAAAATGTGATAATAGATTACCAAGAACGAGAACTTGCTTCTATGTTTTAACGATCCTTGAGGTACCGAGCGCTAAAATTTTTTATTTTGTAAGAAAAATAACCAAGTAAATTGGTGTTATCTGGAATCTGACTTTGAATTCAGAGTATTGGAGTCGGTTGAAGAGACATCCAAATATTTTTAGTATACCATACATATAAAATTCGTAAATATGTTTGAAGTAAAAAAATGTGTATTATACATTTATCACTTTAAAAACAAATTCGGGAGTATAATATGCATATTATACGTACTAGTGTATAATACCTCCATAATACGTGAATAAACTAACTAGGCTACATAGAAGTAAAGGGGTAAAATCTAGCTAAATAAAGAAACAAGATCTTCTCATTAATGAGAGATATATCTGCCATATATAACATTATTGATTTATATTAGTTTGATTGAGATTATTATTGGTGAACTAGAGTTAAAAGTTAATAGAAGCCAAAGAGAACACAATTTTCTTGACTGGCTTTTCTAGCCCACTACTAAGATAGCAAGGTAAACGGATTTGGGGTCGGACCTTGTATTGTTTTTCTTTGATGAATTATACTTGGCCTCCATCTCAACATTTTTTTTCACTTTTTAAATTAAAAAGACTATCATTTTTTGAAACACAAATACCCAACTTTCATTCAGAAGAAACTAAATGAGAGATACAATCAGGTGGTGTACGCTCCCAAAAACCAGACTCGGACAGCTCCCAGGAGTATCATTTTTGTGTAAGGTAAAATACTCAGTTTTTTATTTTTGGATGGGAGGAACACTCGATTTATTGAGGGATTCTTTTAATTTACTACGGAGTAAAATTTAAAATATTTTTTAGTTCTACTGAGTATGTAAATATGAGTAATAAAAAATCATTGGGTGCCCCTATTTCCCTAAGGCAAATTCTTTTATGATTCCTAGGTCCATACTTATTTTATAGACCTTAATATATACTCCATATTATGGTTGTATGTATTGGGTCTTATAAAAAAAGAGATCCAACCATGGCAGATCTAATAATACTATGTGTATGATAGATATGCACTAACAATCATTATTTAGATCGCATACACAATTATTAACTTTTTGGCATCAAACTCTAATCAGAGAATAGATTAACCCTAATTAGACCATGTGTTTTTGCAGGCTTGACGGGGTGTAAAGAGGTATGATGTGGAGTGGTAGAAATATGTGTTGTGGGACTTGAAAGAGGGGCGTGACCAAAAACTAATGGGGTGAAGATGTAGATTATTTTAATTGGTTGGGATAAATATGTGTTAAATTTTGAAAAATTGAAAAAAGGAGAAAAAAAGAAGAGAGAAAGGCCATCACGGCCAAATGGGCAACGCACGTTCAAGCGGACAGTGGACTATGGCATTGAAAAAGGGGGGGGGGGGGTAACACCTTTGGGAAACGTGCTACAGCTATATAATGGCCTTGAGCTTGTATCCGCGGAGACATGAATAATCGAACAAATTCTTCCTAGTCTCCTCTCTTTCTCTCTCTTCTCAAAAATATAATCTCCCTCTCTTAAAAATATCTTCTTGTTCATCTTCTTTCTTGAGTCAGAGCTTGATTTTTAGTCCATTTCTTGTAGCAAGATATTCTTGATATAAAAATGGTATCAGAGCATCGATCCTGACCGAATCAAAACTAGATATCTTCAACATAGCTATGGAGTCTCAATTGAAAATCGTGGAAGGCCTATTTGTGGAAATGGATGAGCGGTTTAATGCTCATAATAAAAAATTAGATAGATGATGTCAATCTTGAAGAAATGGAATCAAAATATGGCAATGAGAAAGAAAACTCATCAACAAATGGGAAATGAATTCAGCTGCATTTGAGAACACTAGAGTCCAACCCTAAGGTGGAATTTCAAAATTTTGATGGCAGCAACTTGAGAAAGTATATGGAACAACAAGGCTTGTAAGTACTTTTAACTATAATATTTCCGATGATCAATGGGTGGAAATTGTTAGGTTTTGAGAGGCAAGGTTAAAATGTTAAATCAATACCTACACGGACCATTGCAGTTTCAGATGGGAACACTCTAGCCTGTCAGAATGCTTGTGATCAATTCACATGGGAGATACAGAATAAGGAATCCACCACAAATGTTATGTTGATATCCTTGGGCAGCTGTGATGTGGTCCTAGAAAGTCAATGGTTAAAGAAAATTTTGGACCAGTTTGTTGGGATTTTAAAGAAATGCCCATGAGGGTTGATTTGGATGAACCTTTGGTTATAAATGGGTTGATGAACATAAAATTAAAGCATGGTGAAAGCAAACGAGAAGTGGGTTTGAGTCCAGAACTTGAAGGCTTTCAAAGGGGGCCCAACAGGATTTTTGAAGATCCCACGAAACTACATCCTTTAAGGAAGGTGTTTGATCATGATATTCTACCCTCCCTAGCACACAGCCTTGACAGAAGGATACAAAAGTCATACAAGAAACAATCTATCCAAGTTCATATCCCAGCTTGGCGTCAACCAATTGTCAGTTGGTTAAAAACTATCCTATTTTCCAAGTCACTACACACTTAATAAAAAGGTAGAAAAGTGGCAAGTAGGGTCATTCTTTCACAGAAGAGTTCCCTTAACACACACACACACACAATGGGGGGTTTTGCATAGAATTCCTAAACTAGGCGCTGGATGTAAACCTAAACATGAGTAAAAGAAATCAGAAAATGGGTGTTGTTAAGAGGCAGAGAAGAGAGGGCAGTTGTCAGGTAAACCAGTTGGAGAAAACATGCTTGGTCAGATCAGAGTTCGGTCATTCAATTCAGACAAGTTTTTGATCAAATGCGAGATATTAGCTCTCTCAGCAAGTAACTAATACTCCAATCACTCAATTAATCATGTTGAGGGGCAGCACACGGGCATGATCTATCTCTAGATTGACAACCTTAGAGCCTAATAGGAGTCGACATAGACATGCATTAAAGTTTAGGATTGTCATTTGAGCCTGTATTGTGAACTGGCCAGCCAATCAACACCACACCAGGCTAACAGACCAGAATCCACACGTCTAAACCTAAGAACAGGGGCATGAGACCTACTGTCCCAAAATAATCACAGAACCTGTCACCTTCAACAACAAGCCTTTGACACATTCAAGGACGCATTATTGAGGACCGAATTACTCACGATTCATAATGAAATTGCATCAGCAGTGATGACTCACAGATTCAAAACAATCAAATGCAGAAATTATCAATTCACAACCTCCAAATAACGAATTCAAAGATGAAACATAAAAAATGAAGATTGGGGAATTCTTACCAACGAATAAACTGCCCACACAAACCCAGATTGAGCTCGGTTTGGAGGGATTGATCGGTGATGACGGAGCCCAGGTTGCAGCGGTTCCAGTGATGGTCCAAAATCTCTCGTCCAGAATAAGGTACTTTTCTTGTACAGGGGACCGGCCGGAATAAAACAAGGACCTGCCTGGGACCGGCGGAGAGGTAAAACCAGAACAGGACTGGAACCGGACCGAAGTAAGTTTTTAATATTTTTTATTTTTTAAAAATCAATTTTATTTTTTTTAATTTAAAATATCCACTTCTAAAAAGGATTATAATTACTACTCCGTAATTTGTAATGTGTAACACATACTAAGCATTATCAATCACCATATTTAAAAATTAAAATTTTCTAACATTGTATCAAAACGATAATTACATCATGCATGTCGTTTAAAATATAAATGTAAAAATCAACAATAATACTACTGGAGTTCTACGTACAACACTGGATGAGGACAAGCATGCTTTAGAGACTATTGTGGATCACAACCCCACATTCAAATCTTACATATATCTTTTTTAAGTAAAAATAGTAAAAGACGCCATTTTAAAAGGATGTAAAAATGTTTAAAAAAATTCTTTTATCTTTTCCAAAAAAACATTTTTGTGATATAAAACGAAAATGTAACATTCAATTAGTCTTAAAAATATAGTAACATAATTTGTAAGAAAAAAATTAATAGAACTGCAATTTTATTTAAATTGACAAAAGAAAAAAAATTAATAGAACATAATTTGTAAGACAAAAAATTAATAGAACTGCGAAAAAACACTCAAACTTCAAATTAATGTTATAGCTTTACGAGTGATTTAACAGAGAACATCTTACTCCTTAATAATCAAAATTTAACATAGTTGACTAAAAATATACTCCCTCCGTCCCAAATTATAATGCATGTTTACTATTCACAGGGTCAAACTTCATTCATTTTATTTCTCTATTTTCGTTAGCAATTTGATAAAATAAAATATTATTGTCACTACTAGTTTTTTAGATCTTTTGATGTAGTTTTTAATATATAATTTTTATTTTTTAATTCTATACCATTTGTCATATAAAATGGTTTGAAAATAATTTCAGTCAAACATTGTAAACCGAAACAGGCGTTATAAAATGGGACGGAGGTAGTATTACTCATAAAATCTACTTTTATATTTTTATAAGGTCATGTGTTATGGAGCGTTACTGCCACTGTGGATTGCCCGGTAATGCCCCCACTCCCCCCCCCCCCCACGCCGTGACCATGGTGACACCCGTGGCGTGACAGGGGTGTTGCCCGTCTCGTTTTCTTGCGTCGATTGTTGCCAACGACCAATTTTTGGTCCGTTGGGAATATTTAAAAAAAATCGCTATAAATTAATCAAAAATCCCATCATCTCCACACATCATCTTCTTCTCTTCTTCGTTCATCTTCAATTCATTTTTTTTGTTTATCGTGGGTCCGAATCACCCATTTTTTTGTATTCTCTTTCTGGAATTTTTTCGTTCGAAGTATACAACAACAACAACAACCGAGTTGAATCCCACTACAGTATGGTCTGGGGAGGGTGTGTGTACGCAGACATTGCCCCTACTCGGAAGTAGTGAGGCTGTTTCCAAGAGATCTCGTTCGAAGTATGTTTAAAATAATATTTTAATTTATATGTTTACAAAAAATATTATCTATAAAACAAAAACAAAAAAATTAGTCAAGCCCCTGCTATTACGTACCTACAAGTGATGGGGCTTGATGGGAAGACCAAGTCACATGTCGCCTATGTGGCAGTGATCAAGCTCCCATCAAGCCCCGTGATATCACATGGTCTAAAAGGCTTAGACTTTTCGTATTACGAATCATTTCTCATAAAAAGTATATTACTTTTTGATAAAAAATCAAAAGTGGAATTTCCAAATGGGAGTATTTGTTATAAAAAAAGAAGATTAATACTCCTAACAGCTTAGCCCATCAATGGGAAGGCCGGAAGGGTATGCAAATCCCACATTCCCACAAACTATTACACTCATAAATAGAAATTGAATGGTAATCACTTTGCAAAGACCAAACCAAAACACATTCTTCAAATAGAGCTTATATCAAGAAAAAATTAATTAGAAAAAAAGATACATGAAAAGCATTAGTTACATTTCAGAATACACAATAATCACCAGACTTACAGATATGGTATGGTTTGGTATGTGTTGAAAGGCATATAAGTTTCTCTCTTGTTGGCATAATAGAGAGATCACATAATTGAGGCCAAAAAAAAGCTAAGAGAGATCATATGATTCTCCTTGGTTCAGTCCTTGCTGGGTGTATCTATAGATGAATGTGTACACACACACAAGCCAGGACTGCCATCATATTATTATTTTTCACTCTATGGAGAATTGCATGCTGCCACACCAGGCGGGACGTGCCCCTTCTGTGAACCGGTTTCCTAAACCGGTGTGACGTGAGTTGATGAAAAAAGAGCTTCAAAAAATAAGCTGTTTTGATCGTGCGCTTTACCAGCCCGGAGATGCAATTCTCAGTCGGTCTTTGAACCGGTTTACTGCTCGCTCTTTGGGTGATGATGTCTTTAGCTTACCGGCTTGACGCATAATCTCTGAAATGTTTGCAACTTTTAGTAAATCAGTGCATTGAGAACTTCAAGACCCGCAAACCAAAGCATATTCAATGACATTTTACTGCCTAAAAGTACTAGTCGACAAGTAAATTATAGGCTACAGAACAAAAGAGTAAATTTTTTTATAAAGTAACACATTGGTCAAAATCTCAAGTTTCGAATGCACCGCATTCAGCTGTTGTTTCCACATTTGAATCACGAAACACAGCTGTGGCTTTCTGTCATTTCTGATCATTTATACAGTCAGAATCAACCAAATATTTTACTTAAACTTACGGTATAAGTGGTTGGAAGGATCAAAAGTGACAAGAAATCCATAGTTGTGCACCAAAAATGAAAAGAAAAAAAACAGGACCAAAAGTGGGATGTTTCTTAGCTAGACAAGCACCGAGTTTCACAAGCAGACTTTTGTAAAAGAACATATCAAAAGGTAATGCAGAACCAAACTTGCCTCGTGATCTCTCTAGCTCTTCACCAAGCTCTTCTTCCCATCTTTTTCTTATCTCAGAGTCACTTGCATAATTATTAAACAAAAAAACAATTTCTCAGGTTTAAAGGTGAATGAAATTCAGGTGCATAAAATACATGAGATGATTGATATGACAAACCTTGGAGTTATAGGGTCAGACTCTGAATCTAGTATGACTTCTTTTAATTCACAAAGTCCAGGTGATTGAACATCCTGTGTAGCCTCACGTAAACCACCGACATTTGATACCCGTTTCGAACATAATGTACTGGAATTCCCTGCAATATCAACAGCGCCAGACAGTCTCCTGCTCAGGAAACGTTTGGGAGATTTTCCTTTTGGTGGTAAATTTATATTATTCGGAGTATTTTCCTTATTACTGGAAGGACTCGAAGTGCAGGCAGTATTCATGGAATTTTGAAATTCTTCATATAGAGGTGTTTGCAGCTTCTTGAGATCAAGTACCTAAAGAAAGAAAGAAGCTATTGAATCTACCATCTAACATTTAGAAAAAAAGCAATATCAGATTTTTTTGTTTTTGGGAGACAGATATTTGACCAACCAGGTACCTTTTCGTCAAGGAATGCCCTAATTTTTGATTCAGCATCATGCTCGACTACAGATTGCCCACATGGAAATGTAAAGCCATTGTGCTTATCGAAAGATATGGCACTATTGTTAAGTTCATTATTAGCTTGACTGGATAGAAAAACACCTTGGCTCGTTTCCGATTCAGGACTTCCGTCATATTTGCATTCCCAACCATCAGGCTCACACATAGGATTGAAACTCTACGTTAAAAAAAGGGAGTGAAGATGCATATTCGTTTCTCAGCTATCCATTTCTGTTACTATCCCCTTACTTAGGGCACACGATAAAGAAATGGAACCAATGATTACCTTGTTAAGATCATAGGAAGGAAACTTAGATGCATACTTCATAGACTCACTAACAAGAAGATCATCATCATTATCAATCTGACACATATCATCATCATCATCATCAGAATTTGATGTCTTCCAGAGTGACTCTGTTCCAGAAAACTTTTCAGGATATATAGTTGAGCACCTCACACTGTCCCCTTCGCGAACATCTTTCAAGCCATTGCAAGAAATTATTATATCAGAGTTTGATCTGCAGTCCAAATATAATATCAAGTGAGGTGATTAAATAATATTCAGAACCAACGTAACACTCAAAACTAGATGCTTACAGTTTCTTAACATCCATCTTCTGTGCTGCCATTTTGTTCCCAGCGTTGTTCTGATGATTTCCAGATAGCAGTTATTAGTTGAAGGTATGCTACAATATACTAGCACAATCTGAAAAGAAAGAAAGTCTTAACATATTGCTGACCATGGACAAATTGTTTGAGCCAGGATGACTTTCATGATATTCTCCGGTAACAAGTGGATGCTGGACACAATTAGGAAGGATGAGTTAGAGCTTTGATCATACATTCATGCATAGTTTAATATACTTTCCATCATATCGTACTTTCCAAAAGCTATGTCTATGCATTATTCATGAACATGTTATAATGTCTATGCCTCCTCCAGAGTATTTGAAAGGAAAGAAAGATACATAATTGGATGGAAAAATACCTGCAGCAAATCGGACGCTGTAGATCTGAGGTTTGGTTCTCTGCATCAAAATGATGAAGGAAAAATCAGGATACTCTTATATTGGCAGGACATCTCAAATAGCCTCATAAAACACATTATTTATGCTTGGGTTGTAGCAATATCAATCATCTTTGGACATGACAATACCAAATATCTCAAGATTCTCAACTCATCATCATGTCATTATATTTTCCATGCAAGTGGAGATAATTTACACTGATAAAACTTTTAGAATTTTCATCTCATTATCCCTAAAGAAGTCTGTGACAGGAAGTGCATCTGGCATAAAATATTGTCACTTGCTCTTTTTTTGCAAGAATTACTAGTGTTAGGTGATTTTATAAAAATAACTACCA